ATCACGGAACCCATTGATGATCACATCAAGTCTTGTGCTAAATTTGCTCAAAAGATTCTAGATGATCATTTTCATCCACTACACCCTGATCTGTCGTCTTGTCGTTCCCATCCGTCCACATGCTCCTCATTTCGACAACTACCCTCTCGGATTAACATTTATAAAAATTCCCCTGTACCCCACTTGGCCCGACTGCTGACCAAAAAGGAACAGGTCTCAAATAAACTACGTCAAAAGTGTTGTACATGAAACCAGTATCACCGACATTCTTTATCTGACGTTTTTAATATTATTATTTCACTCTGCGTGACGAACAGTGTACATTTTTAACTGCAAAATGTAAGCATATATTCTTGCACAAATTATAAAAATACAAATACAAGATCTGATAGGCTAAAAGAAAGTTAAGGCTGAGTGGATATATGATTTAGATCACAAATAATTAGGAATAATTTATCATTAACTGGGAGAAACGATGTAAGAAAGAAATGCATTGTAGATGGAACTGATTTCAATTTGTAAGCAGGAGGGAAGAGACAAAGTAGATATTAGTAATAATTGCACTCCAATAAGATGAAAACCCTCGGTTGGGACAAAACCATTAGGCAATCAGTACCATAACAGAAGAAGAGAGCAAATAATGTTTCAGACTTGCTGCACCAAGTGGACTTATTGCGAATTACTGTCCCGCCTCCGAACTTCATTTTTCCTCGTTCTCTGTTTTGTGGAAAACTTACAAAATCATGTATGCTAACCAGCAAATCCTCTATATTTTGTTCTCACCGCGGTTCCTATACGTATATCACCGATCTGTTTGCGTGCTATAAGATGAGTTATCCCGATTTCACCTCACTCTCTACTGATCACCTTTGACATGAACTGTGATGCATTAGCGTGTAGATGAATCCACGAAAACGGGCTTATTCGTTACTGTGTTTTGCTTACAATATGTAATGATGTACTATATTCGGCCCTCAACATCTGATGTTTATAACACACTGGTTTGTTAAGTTGCATAGCTCAAATCTCATACAAAAGAGCCAATGAATGGTCCGTCCGTCAGTCAGTCAGTCAGTCAGTCAGTCAGTCAGTCAGTCAGTCAGTCAGTCAGTCAGTCAGTCTGTCTGTCTGTCTGTCTGTCTGTCTGTTTCAGAATTCCCCTCCACGTGTTTCATTTGTTTTCACATGTCTTTCTATTTCAGGCTTCATAAAGTTGCCTGATTCATGATCATTTTCTGCTTCATTGTCAGCTCCAAGAACATCAACATTGCACA